CAGACCACCCTCTCCCAGCCTGTTCACCACAAAGGTCTCCCTGTGCGCAGGGTGAAGTCGGGAACTCCACTCTTCCAGCCACCTCCCGTCACTGTCTCAAAGTCTGAAGTTATCTACCGTCTGATTGGTTACTGCCTGTCTCTCTCCGTGAAGCGGTCACCTCTTTGGATGGCGGTGCCAGGCCCGAGCTGGGGCTGAGTAATCCAGAGTGGATGAATGGACGGAGGAGCTGGGGGTGGGTGGGTGGCAGATGGGGGAAGGGTGGACTGTGTTCACAGGTCCGCTTCGGTAGCTAGCCCTACTAGCCCTGAGGCAGGCAGCGCAGTTTCTGTTTGCTCAGCTAATTAGAGACACTGCCTGGGGGAGGACCAAATGCAAGCTCACAGTATTCTGGGCCTTGCTGCCCTCCCCACTCCCCACAGAGAGAAGGGGCCCTGCAGCTTATACCCCCAGGGGATGCAGAAGGGCCTTGGTCACAGTAGGAGCTGAGGAGGCTGCAGTGGACCGTGGCTATGATTTCAGCCGACTCCACCCGTTCCTCACTGCAGAGACGCCTTGCCCTGACGTCAGGCAGGTCAGTCATGTCCTCCAGGCCTCGGCTTCCTCTCCTGGGAAATGTGTAGCACACAGTGCCGACCCTGGAGGGCTGTGGTGAGTGCAGGAGCTATGTCCCACATCCCGGGCAGGCAGGGTCCACTGGCAGCATCACCAGCCAGGCCTGCGACAGACCCTTCCTTGGGGGCTACACTGGGGCTGGGCATCAAGGCTCACCAGCCCCCTAGCTCTGTGGGGATGCCTCACATTATCAGCTGACCCTTCACCATGTTAGGCCTCACAAGGTTGCTTCTGGCATCCATTTTTATTGTTTCTTGAATAGAAAAGTTTAACACAAAAGGTGACATGATCATACCTGGCAAATGCTTCGTTTTAAAAGAACAGTGAAATCGCTCACTGGCACACGCATGTCTCAGTGTGTTCCTTTTCAGACCCCTCGTGGGAGTTTCTAATGAACTTTCCCGAAGGCAAAAAGGGCGAGGTGGAGAAACCCCAACGTGTTCCTAATGAAACGAAAGCACAGGGATCGGCCTTGGACAGGGAAAAGGGGAAGCGGGCCCAGGAGACAGTCGAGAACTAGTGGGCTGGGAGCTTCCACAGTGGAATTCTTAAGGCCGCCCTTGGGGAAACAAGGCCCTGAGCCCCCTGCCTGGAACAACGGGCTACTGTGAAGGTTCATGGGATGCATCAACTTGGACGGGTCCCAAACCTCAATGGTTTGGCAGACACTGTATCAGCCTCTATTTTGTGATCCTCTGTGAGCAGCCAATCAGGTGCAAGGGGGTGTGGCCTGCATCCAAAGCTCTTCCTCTCTCGATCCTGCACTCATCTGGTCTGACCTCCAGTTCCTGGAACATGAGAAGTCTGCAGTCCGTTGCGTGACCTGCAGATTTTGGATCTGCCACTTCCAGAAAACCCATGAGCCAGCAGCCTGCCATCTGTAACCATTTCCTTGAGACACTCTTTCTATTTAGGTACACGCTTCACCGGCTTTCTAGTGATATAGATGCTTCTTCACCTGTCCAGAGCAAAGCTTCTTAAGCTGTGTGTTCCCACCATTTAAACAAGGGTACAGCACCGGAGGTGGGCATCGTGAAAGAAATTTGGCAACAGGACAAGGTTTCTGTACTTGATAAAGTAGAAGGGCAGCAAAAACCAGGAAGACACTTAATGGGATGGATTGACTCCAGGCCGCAACACTGGGCACGAATGTCACAGGGAAGGATGGCTCAGGCTGTGTTGTGTTCTGTGACTTAGGGTTGCCATGGGTCAGAACCAACTTGGTGGTACCTCACAGCAACGACAACAAAAAAGGTTTCCCAAGGTACAACGACCAACGTTTAATTCAAAATCAAACACATGGTGAATCCAAGGTATTTCTAGCAGGGCCTGTCTGTGTTGCAAATTTCTCCGGTGAAAGGGGTTGTAAGTGGAAAAGGTTTAAGAAGTCTGCGTTTAGAGAACCCAGATCAAAACAAGCTCCTTCACTCGCCTCTCCATCCTTACAGCTACCTGCCATTTCTCCACATCTTCACAGTGGACTTGCCTGGCCGTTCACACTTAAAACAAAAGGCAGCTCATCCCCAGTGCCCCCCGGAGATTCGCTTTGCTATTTCTGCAAGGCTCTCTTGCCAGGTCCCCTCTGACGCGCCTCCATCCTGGCTTCTGTCTGGGAACTTGAACCCAAGACTGTTCCTTCCACACAGCATCCACCTAGGCTGTTCCCTCTGCCCCCAAATGCTCTCCCTCCAGGGCTGGCTGACCTCACCCTCTGGGTCTCTGTCCCAATGCTACATCTTCAAAGAGGCTTCCCTGACCAACGGATGTAAAATTACACACCAACCTCTTCTGACCCACCCCCCACCTGCTCACCACTCAATCCCTAGCCAAACACCCTGCCCAGTTAATGTGCTTCACTGCACGCCATGCCATCTGAAGGAGCCCCTTTATGCACTTATTGTTTCTTACCCACCTCCCTCAACTGCCAGGTAACCACCTTGAGGGCAGACTCATTGCCGATTCTGTCCACCGGTCCAACCAACCTGCCCAATTCAGTTGGAACCTGGCGCACAGTAGGTGCTCGACAAGTCAAGGGAATCAAGAAAGGAATGGGCACATGAATGGACACCCAACTTGGGTTGAGGGTGGGGGTGGGATGCCTTGAGACAGCAGGGAGGGCCGGGACGCTGGACTGACCGTGCATCTGGTAGGTATATGGGCTCTGTCCAGTGGGTGGGGTGCTGAAGCTGGAGGCATAACTGAGGAAGCCACTCTGGCCTGGGGAATGGTTCAAGCTGTCTTCTGTCTTGATACCTTAGGGGGAGGGAAGAGAAAACACCACAGGCACATGACTACGATTCTTCCCTGTCACCTGCAGGAGAGACACTGAGTTAAAGCCACTCTCCACCTGGTCAGAGTCCAAGGGAGGGGTGCAAACAGGACCCCTTGAACCCAGGCTAGCCCACAGACATGTTCTGTTGCATCTATTTTTAAAGAGAATCTTAATCAGTTGCTTTTGTTTATAAATCAGCAGATAGGACACACACACACACACACACCACCACCACCAACAACAAATTCTGGATATATGACTTCTTCTGAGCAATGGGGGGAGGTAGGGTAGTCACCCCATGTGCTGGTGCTGTTTCCTGGATCCCCGCTGATCCTGCACTGCTGATTGTGAGGTCTATTTGCTTTCTGATTGCATTGAGGTAGGCAAGCTGAGCCAGCGTTGGTTGCCTGTGCATTTTATTTCTATGGAGAATGCAACCAGCACACTGCTGAAAAGCCCAGTCGTATGAAAGTCACGGGACCAAGAATCAGTGTCTCTCTGAATCCTGACCCCAGCGCCTGTCCTCAGAGACATCCACTGCACTTATCTCCTGAGCTCACGTCCAGACGTGCTTGCTCTGTACATGCAAGCTTATGTCATAAATATGTCTGTCACTCTCTCTATTCCCTGCTTTAAGGAGCCCTGATGGCTGAACAGCTAAGCCCTTGGTTCCTAACTGGAAATCAGGTGGTTTGGATCCACTCAGTGGCTGTCTTCTCCCTTAAGCCTCATAGCCCAGAAAACCCCTCGGCACATGCAGTTCTACTCTGCGGACTGTCACTGGTTCTGGGAGTGGAAAATCTCATCTTTCTCCTGAGGCATGGCTGGTAGTTTTAAACTGACCTATCCGTTAGCAGCCAAGCATATCACCCACTATGCCACCAGGGCTCCAATTTTTTTTTTTTAATGTTTCTTAAGGAAGGGAAAGAGCAAGGTGTGATGCCCGAGGAAGACCAGTTTAGGCACAGGAGGGGTATATGCAAAGGGTCTGAGACAGGGTTGTGTGGTGGAGGAGTCAACAGCCAGGAGGCCAGAGTGACCAGAGTGGAGTGAGAGTGGGGAGTAAGCAAGCCATGGCTTCAGAGAGGTCAGGGAGGTTGGGAAGGGGACGGCAGGCTTACAGGATTTGGAAGCCTTTGGCTTTAACCTTGAGTGAGGCTGGAGTCCCAGTGGAGGATGGATGTGAACTGGCTTGGGTTAAAGGCATCAACAGCCCACTCTGCCCGTACAGAGCCCAGAGCTGTGCCTTCTGAGCCAGCCCACTGTGTGCCATGGCTGGAGAGTCCCCATCTAGTACTGGCTCATCATATCACTTGGGAAAGCCCCCTCCCCGCCTTCCCCTTCCCAAATCTCCATGTTTTCATAAGTTAGCACAAGAGCTCTGGTGCTTGCTCAGCCCCAATCGCTTGGGTATCACCTGCTTGGCTTCCTGCAGCCCAGACCTGATGATTCATTCCATAGGTTCCCTTGCATCACCTGAATTTCAAAACAGTTTTGCGTGCCCTAAGCAAAATGCCCCCCAAATTTCAAGTTTGCTGGGCCGTAGGTAGTTTTCTGAATGCATAGGAGAGCAACTACGTAATGATCAAATCTATTAAAGTTCCTTTGTGTCCCACCTAGGATCGTCTCTGTACCTCCAGCCACCCACAGACCACAGTTGAGCTAACAGCCCCAGACAGCTGCTCTCCAGCTCTGGCGTCAGGGAGCTTTTTTGTCAAGGGAGCTTTTTTGCTTCCTACGATGGTCTTGTTTCGGTCAGCTGGGCTCCAGCAGGCTCCAGTGACCTGGGGCTGCAAGCCAATGCAATCAAGCCATGGGGAGCAATGGAAGAAGACCGCAGACCCCTGTTCCCCACCCTGCAGGCGTAATCTAAAAGCAAACTGCCCCCTCCCCACTGCATTTCAGAGGCCGCAGTGGGGCCCGTCCCTCTTCCTAGCTGCAGAGTTACAGTCTCAGAAACAGCCTCCACCTGGTCGCACTTCCCCAGGAAGGTGCCGACGGGCTCATATTCTGTTTGGGCAGACTTCTGCTTTGCTGTTGAGAAGTTAAGCTACGCGGTGATCAATGAAGGAGCACCGGTGGTGTCGTAGATTAAGCATTGGGCTGCTCACCGCAAAGTCCGCAGTTCAAACCTGCCAGCAGCTCTGAGGAGGAAAGATGAGGCTATCGGGTCTCATAAAGATGTACAGTCTTGAAAACAAAACAAAAAAGAGGTACAGTCTTGCTGGGAAACCCGAAGGAGCAGCGGCTGATATGAACTGGAAGGGGCTCCGCAGCCGTGGGCTTGGTTTGGTTGGGTGGCAGATTGGACAACACAGCCATAACACTTCTTAGCGCTGCTCATCAAGAAGAGTGCATTTTCACCCACCCCCACCCCCTCCAGCATCTAGTCCAAGGGCCCTAGTGGCACACTGGTTAAGTACTCAGCTGCTAACCCGAAGGTTGGTGGTTTGAACTCACCAGGAGCTCTGCGGGAGAAAAGACCTGGTGGTCTGCGGCCATAAAACTGACAGCCTAGAAACCCCAGCAACTGCCCCGGGAGGATTTCCGCTCCGTTCCAGGCAGGCACTGCGTGTTGACAATTGCCTCAAGGGCATCTAATAGCAATAACAACAGAACAAGGCTGGCCCACAACTTGTGTTGACCCGCGGAAGTGGATGCAGTGATGCTTCCGAGTTCTGGAACCCAGGTAGGTACCATGGGCCCAGAGAGGTACCATGCATCCACCTTCACCCTCCTGGACCCAAGACCACCAGGCGGTGAGGCAGCCCACTGTGAAGGGCCATGGTGAGGATGAGAGTCCCAGCCATGCCCAGCTGACCCAAAGCTGAACACAGGTGCGAGACCAGGGAAGACGAGCAGAAGCCAGTCCACAGGAGGGGGAGAAATCAGTGTTGGTTTAAGCCACTAAGCTCTGGTGTGGTTCGCTACACAGTCCCTGATAACAGGGATCTCTTCTGCTACCTAACAAAGGTCAGGTGCATAAACCACAACTCAACGCAGACTCATATGACCCCATAGGGCAGAGTAAAACTGCCCTGGTGGGTTTCTGAGACTCTCTCTTAATGGGAGCTTTCCACCCCTCAGAAATGCACACAGTTGCTGGTATAATGGCAAACAAACAACCACCCCCCTCCCAAACTTAAATGACCAACAATATATTTAGGGATGACCAGGAAATGGAAGATACAACAGCAAAAAGGCAGGAACTGAAGTTATCCCCATGCAAAGGGATACACTTTCCAGACACAGAGTTGGGTAGGGAAAGCAGATACAATTCAGCAGTCATGCTCTGCACTGGAAGCCCACAAATGAAGGCCCTCAGGCTTATTGCTGTCCTCTGCTTATTGCTGCAAATAAAGTTGTATTGGCATAGAGGCACGCCTACTCATTCCCTGACAGTCTGACTGCTCACACAACCTGGCAACGTTGGGTAGTCGCAAATGGGGTCTATTCACTGGACAGCTTCAGATGGATGGGAGAGCTGGGCAGTGAATGAGAAAGGCCGACGGAGAACTCAGCCTTTGAAATAAGGGGCTGGTGAAGAATACGGAATGTACGGTGGCCTGCTAGGAGAGTAAACTTCTCTGTCTGGGGGAAGTACAGCCAGCATGCTCCTGAGAACCCGGACTTTCAATCTCAGTTACGCGGGACATCTTCTCAAGAGGGACTAGTCTGCAGAGAAGGACATCGTGTCGGGGACAAAGAGGCAGACCCCCGAGGAGAATAACCGGCATTGTGCTGCCAACTAGGGGCTCATACACAGCAACCGTTGGGAGGAAGGCGCAGGTTGTAAACAACAACAACAGAGACCCGGACGGCCTGCAAAGCCAAGGATATTCACTCTTTGGCGCATTGTAGAAAACATGTGTCCTACCAAAGAAACGCACGGGCATGCGTACCCTCAAATTCAGGGGCGTGGGCATCTTCGAGAAGAAAGAAGGTGCCCTCCTTTAGGTTTTTAACTTGCCCATTGGAAGGCTGGCCCGTGGGTGTTTGCAACACTGGTCTCTCGAGGCTTTCATCCGTGCCTTAACCACTGCGTAACCCACCGAGAGAAACTACTCAGCTCTCTCCCTCGCCTTGTGCCTCTAGTCTGCTCCATGGTGTCTTTCCCTGCAGCTATTTTAGACAAAGGTAAATAATGCTGTTTGTCAAGCAGTCGGGGGAAAAAAAAGCTCCCTGACAAGACTCAGCAGCGTCTGCCCAGACAATGAGCCAACATGTATGCTTGCTTGGGCACAGGCGGACCGGGAGAGAAACGGCTCTGGGTCCCACCTGTTCGTGTTCAGCTCCAGGGACGTCCAGGGTGTGCCTCAGCCTGGCTTCCTGATAGAGCTGGCACTGACTACTGGCTAAGCCTTTCCTCTCAGCTGTGCCTGTGCACCATACAGTAAGGCCCACGGGCCAAATGTGGCCCACTGTCTCTGTTTGGGTTAATAAAGTTTTATTGGCACACCGACACACTTAGTAGTTCCCACATTCTTGGGAAGCTTTTGCCCTACCATGACGGAGTCGAGTAGTTGTGAAAAAGAATGCATCTCCCCAGCGGAAACTATTTACCAGCTGGTCCTTTACAGAAAAGGTGAGCTCGCTTACCCTTATGTTATTCCATATATATATGGAATATTCCGTCAATTCCACCGTGACCCTACAGAACAGAGGAGAATGACCCACATCAAGTTGCTTCTGAAGCTGTCAACTTTATGGGGGTAGATCTTTATTGGTTGGTGGGTTTGAACCGCCAACCTTTCCATTAGTAGTCCAGCACTTAAGCACTGAGCCACCAGGGCTCCTTTAGCCCCAAGAGAGAAGGTTTCATTTAACCCCCCGAGTGATCCTGAGGAGGCCAGCCATAGCTCAGCTGAGGAAACGGGGGCTCAGAGAGGGGAGGTAGCTGACAACAAGCAAGGGTCAGTGGTGGGAAGTGACGTCCGATGACGAAACGTCAGAACTCGGGCTCTGATCACCGATAGTGTAGTATCAGGAGACTGGCTCTTCGAAACGGAGCCGAGCTGGTGAACCCACTCTGAGCGGGGTTGGCTCCTGTCCGAGGCCATGTTTTGCCCGGGAAAGTGGCCCTTCTTGGAAAGTCACCGGCCTTTGTTTCTCTTGGCTGCCAGCCAGGCGGAGTCACGTATGTGCGATTGTATCACCCGTCTGCCCGCCCACGAGGGAAAGAAAGTGAGAGAAGATGCCCACACCTGCTGGCCCAGGTCTGTCACAGGTAACCCCCCAGCATCTGGGGAATGCACATCCGGGCGGCAGAGCTGGGCATCAAAAAGCTCCGACTCAGGAGCCCAGCAGCCTGGGTTTAGTTCCGCATCTGCCACTAACCAGCTGGGCGACCTCAGGCAAGTGAGTTACCTACCTTCTCGGAGCCTCAGAAGAGGCTAAGGATGTGGCTTTTTTAAAGGTTGAGATTCAGAGTGAGGAATCCAAGGACCGAGAGCACCGTCCTGGCAGGAAGCCAATGATCAACACCTGACCTGATGGTCCCAGGTCATGGACTGAACTGTGTATTCCTCCCCCTCCCCGCCCCCCAATACAAAGGAGTTTCAAAAAGCTCCTGGGGAAATTCCATTGTTAAAAAAAAAAATTAAATCAGTTTATTGGGGGCTCTTGCAGATATGATAACAATCCATAAATCAATGACATCCAGCAAACTTGTACATGTGTGGCCATCGCCATTTTCTCCATTATCTTTTAACTCCACTCTCCACTTTTCGAAGCTCTCTCGTGTGTCCTAACCCGGCAGGCCTAGTGGTTTATGAGTCAGGCTGCTAATGGCAAGGTCAGTAGTTCAAACCTATCAGTCACTCTTTGGGAGAAAGATGAGGCTTTCTACTCCCATGAAGATGTACAGCCCTGACACCCACAGGGCCAGCTCCACCCTCTCCTGCAGGGCCGCGATGAGCCGGGATGGAGTCGAAGGCCGTGAGTTCGGTTCTGGAGTTTATACTTATGGACATAATCCCACTTGGGAACAAGGTTTTCTTTCTTATGCTGATGCTGGTGGAGGGGAGTCCTCCAGTCAATTTTGAGATATAAAAAGAGCTAATCAGCATGGCGACAAGGAAGGAAGGAAGCAGATGAAGACACACGCTAGGAGGAGACGGCCAAGGGGTCCAGGAATGCTGGGTCAGAGCCCTCTCCCAGAGGCAGCAGAGAGAGCGAGCGAGAGAGAGAGAGAGAGAGAGAGAGAGAGAGAGAGAGAGAGAGAGCGAGAGCCTTGTCTTAGCGCCCAGAGCCAGCATCATGAATTCAGACTTCTTTCTAAACTGTGAGGAAATAAATGTGTTTGCTAAAGTCACTAAGAAACTCAGATGACCCACATGACCACCAATTCCACCTCTCGGGTCACTAGCACCTGCCCACTGCCGATGCCCCGCTCAGGCCTCCGCCAGGCCTCTCCATGAACTCCCGAGGTCTCCCAACTGGCCTGCTGCTTCTCCTCTTGCTTGTCACCCTCCAATGGCTTCTGGCTTATGGGAAACAAAATCCCAAATCCTTCCTGGGAGCGCCTAGGCCCTACCCGTCACCTGCTTTATCTGCCACCAATGCTCCAGCCACTGCTCTGGTTGGTCAGGCCTGGCTGGGGATTCTCGTGGCTGTGGCCTCCGCCTGGTCATTTCTTGACTCTTGGCGGAACTGGACCTAGCTAAAGGTCTTCCCTGGACGTGAAGTATTAAGACTTCTTGTTATCTGCTCTCTTATGCCCCTCCTGCGCTCCCATCACACCAGGCATTGCCCATGCTCATTCCTAGATGTAGTTCGGAGTTCCGTAATGTCTCCACAGACGCTGAGCTGGGATGTGTGTGGACCAGACGACTCACGTTTTCACTTCTCTGCACAGTGTCTGTTCGTGAAGGAGAAAGTGTCCCAAGTCTTTATTTGAGGGCTGCACATAAATTTTGGCAAGAAGGTAAATTCACAAGGACAGCGTCTATGAATGAGGATAGACTGTAATAGGTAAAATATTAAAAATGTGTATTTTTTCTGCTTTAGAGACCAGAGCCCCTGTAACAACTCAAATCTGCCACTGTAGCGTAAGGAGCCACAGACAATAACAAGATGAATGTGTATGACTATGTGTCAATAAAACTTTATTTACAAAGCAGGCAGAGGGCCACATTAGGCCCACGGGCGATATAGCTTGCTGACCCCCAATGGAGACTACTATTTTGTATATTTCAAGATTTTACCTATAGTGTATCTTTTAGCACACATTCATTGGCCACTGGCATTTTCCTATACAACATCATGTTTGTAAATCAGATTCCTAGGGTTCTGTTGGAACTACTGAAAAAGATGGACCTTTCTTCCCCACCAAATGCTGAAAGAAGCAGGCCCCATCTTTGCTTCCAGATGGGGACACCCTGTGTGAGAGGAAAGGCACTTCAGAGCTGACGGCAGGATGAGACCAATTCTTCATGACACCACTGAGCATCTGGATCCAGCCATACCTGATGTCCGTTACCCTCAGCTTTCCCATTTACGGAGATCATTATATTTCCCCTTTCTCCACGCCAGCTCTTGGATTGGATTCTGACCTTTGTAATCAAAACCCAAACCAAACCCACTGCCATTGAGTCGGTGCTGACTCATAGTGGCCCCTTGCGGGTTTTGGAGGCAGCAACTCTTTACAGGAGTAGAAAGCCCAGTCTTTCTCCTGAGGAAGGCTGCTGGTGGTTTCGAACTCCCAACCACTAGGATCTCAGCCCAATGAGTAACCACTACACCACCAGGGCTCCTCACTGGGAGCCTTTGATAGACTCTGTCAAACTTGAACCACATTTAAGGTGTCTCTCCTTCTCCTCTATGTCCAGTCCCAAATTAGCCCAGTTACATGTATCAGTCTGCACTGAACAGAGGCATCTGCCTATGAGTGTGACTATGATGCTGGCGGCCCCGGGAGAACGTTGAGGTCCGGGCCTGGTACTCACTGTAAGAAGGGATTCCGTAGGCTTGTGCTGGGGGTGGATAGGCTGTGTAGGAAGCGGCCTGCTGAATCCCTGTGCTGTACTGCGTCTGGCCATAGGCTGCCATGGCTGTGGGAGGCCGGCTGGGCAGGACACGCGGGCAAGGTCTGCGGGAAGGGAGAGAAGATGATGAAATCTCCTAGCTCCACCCAGCACCCTTCCCCCTTATCTTGGTACGAACACCAGCAATGTCTTTAACGCAGGCATTCATCAAATCTCACCTCACAGTCCTGTTCCCAGCCACCAGGAAGATGACACTGCCTGTCTCCCTTGCGGCTGGATTTGACCATGTGACTGGGTTCCGGTGGCCTCAGCAGGTGCTGTCACACAGCGCAGTAACTCATGGTGCCAACCCACCTCCCGGAAGGCCCTCCTTCCGTACCAGACCCTACAGCATCCTTAGTAATGGTCATTAGCCATTTTAATCAGAGAATAATATGTGTGCCAGACAGCTGTACACAACGTAAGTGTAACGTTTCTCAGGGTAGATGATTACTAGCAATACAAGGATGTCACTTTGAGGACTGTGGTGCATTGGATCCAAACCAGGGTATTTTTTTTAATCATTTTATTGGGGGCTCATACAACTCTTATCACAGTCCATACACACATCCATTGTGTCAAGCGCATTTGTACATTTGTTGCCATCATCATTCTCAAAACATTTGCTTTCTACTTGAGCCCTTAGTATCAGCTCCTCATTTTTTCCCTTCCCTCCCCGCTCCCCACTCCCTCATGAACCCTTGATAATTTAGAAATTATTATTATTTTGTCATATCTTACACCCTCCAACATTTCCCTTCATCCACCTTTCTGTTGTCCACCTCACAGGGAGGAGGTTATATGTAGATCCTTGTAATCGGTTCCCTCTATCCAACCCACCCTCCCTCCACCCTCCTGGTATCACCACTGGTCCTGAAGGGATCATCTGTCTTGGATTCCTTGTGTTTCCAGTTCCTATCTGTACCAGTGTACATCCTCTGGTCTAGCCAGATTTGTAAGGTAGAACTGGGATCATGATAGTTTGGGGGTAGGGGGAAGAAGCATTTAGGAACTAGAGGAAAGTTGTGTGTTTTATCGTTGCTATACTGCACCCTGACTGGCTCATCTCTTCTCCACGACCCTTCTGTAAGGGGATGTCCTGTTGCCTACAGATGGGTCTTGGGTCTCCACTCTGCACTCTCCCTCATTCACAATGATTTGATTTTTTGTTCTTTGATGCCTGATACCTCATCCCTTTGACACCTCGTGATCACACAGGCTGGTGTGTTTCTTCCGTGTTGGCTTTGTTGCTTCTGAGATAGATGGTTTACCTTCAAGCCTTTAAGACCCCAGACGCTATATCTTTTAATAGCCGGGCACCATCAGCTTTCTTCACCACGTTTGCTTATGCACCTGCTTTGTCTTCAGCGATCGTCAAACCAGGGTATTTTCAATCGCCTCAGATGCACGTGAACGTTGGACACTGAATAAGGAAGGCCCCAAAGAAGCGACGCATCTGAACGATGCAGCAGGTGGAGAATACTGAAAGTACCGTGGACTGCCACAAAAACAAACAGATCCGTCTTGGAAGGACAGCCAGAGTGCTCCTTAGAGGCCAGGATGGCCAGATTTCAACTCATGCACTTTGGACACGTTATTAGGAGACCTGGGAATGGGCATCGTGCTTGGTCAGGTAGAGGGCCAGCAAAAAAGAGGAAGACCCTCGACAAGATGGATAGACACCGTGGCTGTAACAATGGGCGCCAACTCGGGAAAACTGGGCGTGGTGCAGGACTGGTGGTGTTTGCTTCTCTTGTACATAGGATCGCTACAGATTGGAACCCAAACAACAACAGTAAAACTGTCTCTCAAAATCTGTCTACGTTGAATTACAACATTATCAGTGACTGAGCAGAGGCCTTTTTTTGTCCTTTTCCTGTCACTACGACTTCATTCTAACAAAATATCGGTTCATCAATACTAATGACCACCACGCTGTGGGTCAGGCCCTGGGGAACTTGACAAAATCAATGACTATTAAAACACTGTCAACCCTAAAAAGATGGTAGTGTGAGCAGATGAACCCACACGGTTCAAAGCACCCTTGTCATTGAGCAATCCAGACAGCTCTGACCAGAGCGCAGTAGGAGGTCCCCAAAGCAAATGAGCATAGCCTTTGAGCCTCATACGTGTATCGATTCATGTGAGCGGGGCTTATGAAAAACGCTTTTGTTGTGAAAACGAACTCCTGCAGTTTCTATTAGAAAACGTTTACTGTGAGTCAAGTCAAAGCCTACAGAACGGATCGCCAGTTTTACATCCAACCGTTCCTACACACGTTATTTCCCCTCCTCCACTACACTCCCTCCATGTGTGATCACTTAGCCCACTTGTTCCCTGGGAGTCCTGTTTCTATCCCTTCTCTCCCCTAACCTGCTGTGCTCTTTGTTCTTAGATAAATGCTGCCCTTTTGATCTTAAATGGTTGGTTTTTCTAACATGGGTGGGGAGTTCAGTCCCAGACCTGAGGAAGAGTCCCACCAGTCTCTATTTGCAGTCAGTTTGGTCTCCTTTACGATTTGGGGTTTTGTTCCACAGTTTTCTCCAACTTTATCCAGGAGCTTCGAACGTGAGTCTTCTCAGAGCAGTTGCTAGTGGAAGCCGGACACGATCTGAGGGTTGTGGGAATGGATGTTCTCATGTCCACTAGTCCACTGGACTAACTGCTTCCCCGGGTCTCTTTGTTTTCATCACTCTTTCTTCTGGATGGGAAGAAACCAATAGTTGCACCTTTGATGGCTGCTCACAAGCTTTGAAGATCCCAGTGGGATACTACAGGGATATATATATATTATAAAAAGCGATACATTTCTGCTGAAACACTGCACAGAGATTTTTACAGATGTGTATCAAATGTTTAGGGATTGTCCTCTTGGCAGTCCCTCATTGATAGTTCTCCCTACCCTGTGCACACCCCTAGTGATGCCACAGCTGGGCTCTGCTCAACAGGACAAGGGCAGAGATATTGTAGGCCTGGACGCACAGGCTTGGATGGGACCCTCCTGTCCCATCTCCTCTTTTGGCCACAATTGTGGAGGGCCTGGGTTGAGATGGCAAAGTCATGATATGGAACATCCTGGATCCTTGAGTCAGTGTGTGGAGGAGAGCTGCCCCGGAAAGTTTCTCTTAATCAAAACTGAACTCTAAGTAGGAAATAAACCTGTGTTGTGTTAAGGCACTGACATTTCAGTCCTTATTGACTGCTGCAGCCTAGCCTGCACCTAAGGATCCCTGCTGGTATGACTGTAACATGCTCAGCTGCTAATCAGAAGGTCAGAGGTTCGAACCCATGGGCAGTTCCATGAGAGAAAAGACCTGGAGATCTTATCCCATAAAGAGTTCAGCCTCAGAAACCCTTGGGAAACGTTCTGCTCTTTCATGGTCACCATGAATGGGAATCAACTCAATGGCACACAGTAACATAGACTCTCCCACCTTTACCATCCATCTCCATTTCTACACCTTCTTACTGGGTGCCGTTCTGCCAAAGCTCTTAGTGACAAAGGGGGAGTGGGCACGTGATACAAGCTCATCCAATCAGACTCTTTTCTGGGAATTCACATCTGGGGATGAATCATCCATTCCAACAGCCATGCCCTGAGCAGACGATCTTTTAGTTCCTTGCAACAACTTCAACCAAGCACCATCTGATTCTTGACCTTTCTCAAAGCCTGACGCTGCCATGGCATCCACGTGGGGGGCTTCTCCAGGGCTTGCCCCACAGGGGCTTACATCAGAGGTTAGGGACCAGCCAAGCGTTGGTTTCCGTTGGCTGCACCCAAAGAACCCAAATGGGTCCTGTCCTTCATGGTGCACAGCAGACCTATAAAGGGCCACCCACCTACGACCATAATGCCTGTCTTCACAGGGGCAGGTGGCCAGGGCTTGCCGTCCATGGTGCCACAGTTGCCCTTGAACTGCCTACCTCTCAGTCAGCAGCTGAGCACTAAACCATGGATCCCTTCAAACCCGAAAATGAACTCTCTACCAGCACCTCCATTCCAACGCAGAGACCCTATAGGACAGGGTAGAACTGCCCCTTGGGCTTCTGAGGCTTTATGGGAGCAGAGTCTCATATTCCCCCCAGAGTGACAGGTGGGTTCAAACCACTGACCTCACAGTTGGCAGCTTAATGCGTAGACCACTATGCTACCAGGGCTCTTTTCTCTGTCTCTGTCCCTGTCTCTCTCTCTCTCTCTCTCTCTCTCTCACACACACACACACACACTGCCATCAAGTTGATTCCAATTGAAAATGACCCTCTAGGACAGAGTAGAACTACCTCTGTGCGTTTCTAAGGCTGTAAATCCTTATGGGAACATGAGGAGACAGGCTCATCCTCATCCTGTGGAGCAGCTGGTGGGTTCAAACGGCTGACCTTGTAGTTACCAGCTCAAAGCATAACCCATTATGCCACCAGAGAGCCTTATCGTAGCGATCTATTCACAGAAACATATGTCTCTATATTGAAATATATAAACATAAATATATAATATATATTCAGACGTATAGAGCCCTAAAGATTGTATGTGTGTATACAGTTCATTAAAAAATCATTGAAAGTATTTTAAAACCAGAAGATTACACACACTGTCTCTCTCCCCTACATGCCCTATTTCTACTTTCTCCAGGAACTCAGATGGGCACACCTGTGGGCATTATCCGGGGAACCGGAGGAGAGGCATCCCCTTGGATTGCTTTCACTGTTGGCACCAGCCCCTACAGGGCCCACTGCACCGAGGGATTAAAATAGCAATTTGAACCTATTACTTGCCAGGCACAGTTCTAATTCCTTTATGTATCTGAATGAACTGGCTCATTTGACCTCCCAACAACTTCAAGGACTCCCAGGGGCCTTTCCTAATCTCCTCCCCACATTACAGATAAGAGAACAGAAGCAGGCAAGAGCGCACAGCACACATCCCCGGCTCCATGGGTCAGGCCCGCTAGGTTCCCGTGACCTCAAGTACCTAACTATTCTAATGGGCCCGCCGGCCAGTGACTGTGGATGCGACTCCTAGCTCCCCACAGCCCCCTCCACCCCCCGTCCCCACACGTGACACCACTTTCACCAAAGTGTCTGTCTGTCTGTAGA